TTTATGTATATACGCTTCTTCGTACTGGTTATCAATGTTTTCAGATTGAAAAAACCGATGATGAACCCTTTTTCTTCGAAATACAAAAGTTTTGCTTTCTTTAATGTTTTATTTATTTTGTCTTTTATCAAGAACAATTCTCTTATATAACAAAATGTATAACCCAGAAAGATATGATCGGTCGGTAATCGTTCCACAATTTCTCATGAAATTAATTTCGAACAAAAATACAAAAGATATTGCGAGTGCGTGATGTTCTTTTGATATTGTCTACATTTTCTTGATAAATTTTTTTTATCTTAATGGTTTGTTGTTTTTTCGTTTTATTTTAGGCTTGTTTTTGTAAATCGTAATGTCGATTTTTAGTGCCAAGGTTAGGTGAATAAGTATTGCATCCGTATTTTTGAAATTTAATGTGACGGTATTAGAAATAATGCCGTTTTAATACACCGGCGATTGTCAACTTAATAAAAGCCTTTATTATATCTATATTATCTAATTTTCCACATAATTGCCCACTGTTACTTAAACTAAAATGGCTTCATGAACTGAATCAATGAAAATTCTGAAAAAATCTTCTATATCAAGACACCCTTTTGTTCAGATTCGAAATATTCTTCCTCAGCATTCTTTTTTTTTTATGTAAAATGTTTTTTTTTTATGTAAAAGCTCCTTTCTAAAGGTTGGCTGTCCTTTTCTAAGCAAAGTATGTTCTTCAATTCACTTAGCTTAATCAAGTTCATAATGCTTTTTACTCCTTCCTTTTTAGTCTCCAATAACTAGATTGCTCCTTTTTTGGTACCTTAAAGATCATGGCATTTTTTCATTTTATTATTTGTTTATATCCCTAGGATTAATATTGCTTAAGTATCTTTTATTACTGTGAAAGTTACCATCTAAATATTCCTCAAATTTATGTCATTACTAATAATTACCGACCCGCCAAAACTTTATTCATCAAAACTTGTTTATACTTTACACACACGTGCTTTTGTTTTGCATTACGATGTTTAAAGCCTCTATATATACACAAATATTTTGGTTTTTTTCATCATTATTTAATTATATAAATCCGAGTAAATTCAGTAGCTTAAAAAACAGCACAAAGAAAAAATCAAATAAAAATTTTACTAAAAAAAAAACAAGACTATCGCAAAGAATTAACAAGTATAAAAGAAAAAAAAGCAAAAATACGAAAACCGGGAGTGTATCTCACATTGACGACTACTTTATCTACTCTATACTTGCAACGCACACACGCATATAACATACCCATAAATATTTATTAATTTTTGAACACATGTACGAATTTTCACAATGCCTAACTATGCTCACCTTTAAAAGTATTTTCAATATTATTGCTGTTGTATGTGATGCTAGTGGCACAGTTCTTCCTCTTTTGTTAATCTTGTTGAAGCTTTTTTCAATTCAGATGCTTTAAACTGACTGATTTAAAATTGAATTGATTTTTGTCTAAAAATAAAAATGAAATGGAAGATTTTAATAAAAGAAAAAAAGTCAAAAACAGAATATTTAAATAAAAAAGTTGTGATATTAATCATAACCATGGCAAAAGCTGAAGAAAACAATAAAGAAAAATGGAAAGAACGAGAAGTTAGTGGCTTTCAACGCTTATTATAACGGCAAATTGGTTGTTATACCGTTTGATTTTTGATTAATTTTTATATATTTTAATATTTTTTTATCGCATATTTTACTATTGTGCTAAGCGCGATCTAATATCTTAATTCTTTATTTTTTTACTAAGCATATTTATGTGCATACATATGTAGGCATTTGCAAACCACAAAATTTTTCAAGTATTTTTAAGGGTTTGGTACAAAGAAATTATAAACATTGAAGTATGTATGTAGAAAAAATTATTAAAAAATCACTTTTTTTCACTACAATCATTCTGAGGTTATACGTAAAATATCAATAAAATTTTCACTTCCAACAGATAAATAAAATGAAGTTTAATATAAAAGTACAAATATTTGTAAATATTTGCCATATTTCAATGATTGATAGTTTAAATAAGATGAAACGATTAATAGAATTTAGTTTTGAGATTCATAATAAAATGAAGTTTGCAGATTCACGAGGTTAAGTCATGAAAAAATTTGATAAAATTATTTGATCACAAAGTTGGTAATTCTTACAAAAATTGGACAAATTAAAAGAATTAATAAATTTTTTTCGTTGCAATTTGTTGAAAAGAATTTAAAGTTGAGCAATAATTTGATTTTTTTTTTTGATTTACTAAAAACAAGCTCATCAATATCAATCTGAAAAGTAATACTAAAATAAAATTGGAGAAAATGTTAGGAGTTTGTTAAAATTTAAATATAAAATACTCAATCAATTAAACGTTTCAAACAATAGGATTGTTGCTATATGTACATATGTATGTATAAATTAATCATCCCGTGCCTTACCTTCCTGCGAGTGTGTTTCAGGTTTTCCAATGTCATAAATTGTTTTTTAAATCCACCGAGTTAATAAAATGAAATTAGTATTCATCATTCTTTGCATAAAATCGGATAAATTCTTAAAATTTTTTTTTAAATTTCTATTTCAAATCCAAACAAAATGTCAAAGATCCCAACTATTAAATTAATTTCTTGTTTAAAAAAAATCCAAGAACAAAAACCTTTCTTCCTTTCTGTGTTGCATTAAAAAATAATCAAAAAAGCAGAAACCAAAGATCTTCTACAACATCACAATTACATACATATGTATGTATATACAAGTAAGAAAAATTATATTTTTCCATTCATCATTGTTGCAAGATATTAGCTGCTTGGTCTTCATTGAATTAATCTCTTTCTCCTTTTGCTACAGCACAGCAGGAATAAAACCTCTTTTTTATTATATTCTTAAACTCCATTCGGATCTGGGCTTGTTATTATTGAATATGTATGCCTCAAATGTCTACAACGTTCGTGCACATTTTATTTTCTATTATACTTACGTGTTCTTTCATGTGCCAACTATTTATTTTATTTTGTATTTTTTTTTTTTATTTTCTATCCTGTATTTAATCATTACGTTACCTAACCTTATGTTGTACACAAATACCATCAAATGCGATCTCGCTTAAACTTTCTTAATTTTGGCGTTAGTATTATAACCTTAGAATCACATCACAGCATTTTTACTTTTTTTGGTACAAATGTTTATATAGGAAATATTCTTGTGCATATGACAAGAAGCAGCACTTAGTCAAAAGGAAATATCACTTGTTGCCTTATGAATTCATGAATTCGTTGTTTTATCTTGGCATGTCACAGTCGTATTCACTATGATTTACAGAATAATTTTCAAAATATAAAACTGAGCATTAGTAAGACCATCAGTAGTTTATTTTTCATTTGAATCATCCAGTTCTCCAACTTTCAAAAAATAACAATTCATATCCTTTTAGGTTTTCTCCTGTCTAAGTTGATAATTGTGGCAATTTTGCCAGTGAGTTCAATCTAATGGTTGTCTAAATTGATTGATAAAAACCGATTAATAAAATTTTGCATATTGTTTTGTCAACTTAAGCACACAATCGAAATTTGACGGGAAAATAATAAAAATCTAAAAAAAAATTGCAATTAATGATTTAATACAAACTTAGATTTTGATTAAATTAAATTTATCGCAAAATATTGTTTGTAATTAGTATTTACTAAATACCTATAATAGGTAGGTTTGTACTTTATGATTGGGTTAGTTGCACACTCTTTTTAAAATTATTGGATTCATTTTCCATTCTGTTCTGTAGGTTCCATAGTTTGATGTTTCAATTACCGAAAATCGTAAATTAGATTTAAGTTTGCCGCTAACGAATAAATTAATCTTCTAATATGTACATATATACACTACAAACGTAAATACTCATCCAATTGATTCTCCAGTTTGTAAATTAAATTCGCAATTTTTTTTTTGCAAAATGCTACACCAAGAATAATCAACCGAATATCACTAAATTATTAAAATTCATAAATAAATTTCTTATTAGAATTTTTCGACTCCAAACAAATCAGTTATAAATGAAACAACATCGCGTTCTAAAATTGCATCAAAATATAAAGAACTACAAACATGTACACATAACGCCATTTCACATTGTATTGTTTTTAAAGAGACGTATTGAAATACTGAATATTCTCAGTGGATAAATTACATCATTTCATTTTATTCTCTTTACTGATTTTTTCTCTTCTATATTTTTACATTAAAAATTCTCATATAAAATTAAGAGATTTTACTATGGTGTTGAATGTTGGCAAGGCTTGAATAAGAGTATGTATTTTGCCAACGTACAGTACAGCACAAGTAATCGTACCAAAAAAAAATCATTTTGTTCATTAATTATGAATCTGGCTCAATTTTAATAAAATTGCTACGTGACATGCTTGGCAAATGAAAACAAAATCACACATTAAACAAACATTAAACAATAACTAGCTATTTTGATGATATCATTTTTGATATCATGAAGTTATAAGATTTTGATTCCGTTGAATGATTTGGATTGTTTCTGAATTCGGCAAATTCATTCTAAATGCTCGAAAACAATGTGTTTGAAAGTCATGCTTATGAACATCTCTGATCCATATGAACCAAGTACCTACATAAACAAATCAAAACTTGTATTATAGCAGCACCATTCTTTAATATACCAAATCCATTTTAAAATTTAGCCTTTGGCAATACTCTTTTTCGGTAAATTATAATAAAAATCTTGTTCAATCAAATCTGTTTGCGACTGCTCTTTTATTTGCCTTTTCTCACCAAACCATTTATTCTCTTAATTTTAAATGTATCATTAATTTTAACAATATTTTCAAACACAAGTAAAGTAAATTTTTGTTTATGTATTGAATAAGTTACAACCAAAAACCATACGGTAAATAAGAGAGCACAAACAAAATACATAAGAAAAGAAAACTATCCGAAACATACTTTTTTAGTTAACTTTTTTTTTAGTATAAAATCGAAGTTGCGCGACGATCGTTCGTTACTGTACAGTTATACACAAATAACTTTTTTGTAGTTTCAGATTTTTTTTGTATTTCTTAATTTTTCTCTTTATTATAACCTTTTTTATTCTTAGCGATATTATTAAAAGTAAATTTTAGAAAAAAAAATTGCTTATAAATTTTATTATTAATTAAAAAAGGTAATTTCTCAGTGAAAAATTAAAAAATTATTTGAAGAAAGAGTGTTGCTGCTCGTAGACAAAAAAGTGAAACGATGAAAAAAAATTACTAAAGGCAAAAAAAGTTAAACGGCGTTCGTTATTTTTATTTGCTCGCTTTTTTTTTAAATTAATAAAGAAAAAAAGAAGAAAGAGAGAAAAATATTAAAACTATCGCTAGTCGCTACTCGCTACAAACAAATAATTCAACTTTATTTAACCAATTCTCAAATATTGGTGATATTTAAATTATTAATTATATTTAAAGAAAAAAATAATAAAAAATAGCAAATAAGAAAAATTAAAAAGTGATTATACTTGGATATAAACACACATATAATAATTGCATACTTGTACTTACGTATGTATAACAGTGTAACACATTAATATATTATATTATTTTTATGTATGAGAGTGTGTGCATGAAAATTTGCAAATCGAATAGGGAAATCTTAGATTTAAGTTTTTTTTTACCATAGTTTCGTTATTTTTACGTAAAAAAATTCAAAATTCTTATTTATAGACATTTTTTTGTTGGCTATTTAATCGGTTTGAACAATACATAATTACATATGTATTTATTACCATTGTACGATATCTACTCTTTTTATATTCACTTAAATGCGCGCGCAGCTTTTCTGTTATAAGTATCTACTTGCAGAAAAATACAAAATGTACATACAACATACTAAAGTACATACTAGTAAATATTATTTTAAGAATAATATTAATGTAATATAAACATAAATTGTATAATATAAACATAAAATAAATAAGTATAAAAATATTTTAAAAAATAAGAAAATGAAAAATTTATGTGATATAAGTTTTTTCACATGAAAATCAATTTTTTATACATATGTATGTAAATTCAAATTACAAAAAAAAATTATTAAAATAAGTTTATTAATATCACAAAATAAATAAAAATTAAATAAGAAAATACAAAAAATTAATTTTATTTTTGTGGTGGTTAATAACAAAGAAATTTTTACTTAAAAAGTTTAAATTTTTTATAGTTTCGTTTTTTATTGTTGGACCTAATAATTTTCTTACCTGAGTTTTTTTTTTACATTTTAATAAATGCATTAAAAAAATATACGTGTGTATGTATGGAATACGTATATACATGCATATGTGTGTATGTGTATTCGATTACATTTATTGTACATGACAATTAGAAAACGTTTAACAACTACCTTTTGCCTATAACTAGAACTATATTAAACGTATAAAATGTGAAAATTAGTATGTGTGTATATTCATTTTAAATAAAAAATATATAAAATAAAAATCTATACAACAAAAAAGTTATTAATAAATTCTAACAAGAGGTTCACTTTTTTTTTTTTTTAATTTGTACAAAACAACTCAACTCAACTAAACATAATATTGTTGTGTTGTGTCGATTTCAAGAGAGAGAGAAGAGTGTGTAAAAGAGGAAAAACCAGAAATAAAATGGAAATAAAAAAAAATAAATAAAAATATTAAGCATCATTCTATCTCTCTCACTTTTTTCAAATTACTAATTCTTTTTTTTTTCTTTTAATGTTTTTTTTTCTTATATCTCTTTCTCTTTTAGTTTTTTTTTATTGAAAATTGAAAAAAATTAAAATTTAATGGTGAATTTATCCCACTCCTTAAGGTGTTCGAATTAAAAAAAAAAGTTTCCAATTAAAAAAATAAAAATTAAATCAAAGGAAAAAAAATAAATAAAAATAATAAGTGAATAAAAGGAAAAAAATAAATTAATCAAAATAGGTGGAGAAAAAGCTTTTAAAATTTTTAATACAGCGGCCAATATTCATTCGAAAACTGCTGGCCAGTTTTCTAGTAATTTTTGTGAAGGTACGTAGTATGTATATATGTTTGAACAAGTATATAAGTAAATATAGCATATAAATAAATATTTGTATAACAGAATTTTATGTACATTATTTACATAATTTTTCAACTTATCCAACATTCTATATATAAAACAAAGTTATTTGTTTAATTTCAAGTGTTTATCGTTAGCAATATCGTTATAAGTTTATTTCTTCCTGTTTACAAGCACATAATTACATTTATAATATTCTATTTGCAGTTCAATACCTTTGCATCCCAACATGAATTCTATGATAATGTTGCAAATGCTTTTTATATCCGTAATTTAATGTTACTAGCGAAAATATTACCAGAAAATGAATGTTGGGCAAAGAGTTTGTTTGTTTATGTTTTGGCATTGTAATTGTATGAATATATTATTTATTTACGTACATACAAAGAAATTTGCATCCAAATTTGCCAAACCGAGTTTGTTTCGAATGTAATTTGTAAGTATCATAGGTTTATTATGACAAGTTATTTTATATTTAAAAAAAAATCATTTCGTCTGATTGCGTTCTGACACCAATTATGTATTTTTAAATAAAATTTAAAGAAATAGTGGCTTAAAAAAATTACGAACCAAATTTTATTGAAACTTAAATTATTGTAATTTTATAAAAATTCGAACTCAGTGATTTAAATTCGAAAACTTCATAATATCGAGAGGTTCATTAAATTCGAATTCATAATGTACACACAAAAAAATTTTTAGAGAAAAAAAGAGAGCATTTATGTGGTACGTTTCTCTTTAATCTTTTTCTGATCTCTTAAAAATATATATATATATATATATATAACGCTCATTATTCATCAACATCATACACAAACTCATTTATATAAAGTTTTATATGAAGTGTGCATATTTGAATGTGTTCATAAATTATTTGTTTGTGTTGATATTCATATGAATTTTGTGTTGTGCACCTTTTTTTTTTAAATCGCGTTTATTTACCTTTTGCATATGAGTGTGAATGTGTGTGTATATTTATAAATCCAACTCACCTGAATTAACTTTTCTTTTTTTTCTTTGTAATTAAGTAATTTAGTTATACCATTTTATTTAATGAATTACTTAAATGATGTAAACTGTAAAAATAAAATATGTTTAGAGTGAAAAGAAAAATGATTGATAAAAAAATTAATTTTTGTAAAGACTGATAAAAGACACCAGTTACACAATAATAGTTGAATAAATTATTGGATACAATGCACTTATAACTGAAAAGTATGGTCCAAAAAAGAAATTATTTTAAGATCACATTTATACGATTGTTGTGCTGTTGGCAATAATTGTGTTTAGTTTATTAAATTTATGAGGTGATCAGTGTGTATGTTTATTTTTATTTTATAGTAAATTTACTAACACACTGCAAATGCAATCATTTAGTACCTTTTATACATAATTAGTGCTGAGAAAAGAAAATTGCTTTAAAATCAAACATAGTTATACAATTAGTAATGAACATTTTATTAAGTGCCTACGTCCATATTTATTTTTGTATACCATTTTATGTAAGTGTGTAAGCATTGATGGCTTAAGAAAAAAGAAAATTATTTGGAGTAGAAGCAACATTTAATTCTTTTATTCAATTAATTTTAGTTAATTTAAAGACTTACCAATAACTTTCAACCCTTTCTGATATTATTTTACGTTATCATAAGCAGTCTTTTTTAAAATACTGCATATACATATGTACATATATACATAAGTAAAATCACACACATTCATATTTACGCATTGTAATAAACAGGAATCATAGAAAGTGACCTAACCCAATTCAATTCACTTTCTAGGTTATTATGTTTAAAAGAGCATGAATAAAGTTCGTTTTCCTGAGTCCTTAAAGCTTTGAACTTAAGTTATTTTAATATGTTTACCTCAAGTTAAGTGAACCTTAAACCATAAATGACTCGCATATTTTAATTTTTGTTTTTTTTTTTTTTATAGCAACGCAATACCTATTCTGGTTAACTGTCACTGCTTATCTCATTTTTTCAAAAAAAATTTTAACGTTCTTTCACATAATAGTTCCAACAACGTTCCAATTGGAAACTAATTTTTAATAAAATTTTATTTATTTTTTCATATTTATATTTTTTGTTTGTATACCTAACTCGTTATAATCCTCCATACGCACATAAATACGTATTGACATATAACAAACGCATATATATGTATGTATATACATATATGTGTATGTAAAAAGGTAAAGTAACGAAAATCATAAAATCTTGTTTGTCAAACTAAACTGAAGTACTTTTACACGGTTATCTACTCATTTCATTTATGAAACTTGAATTTCTTCTTAACATTTTACTTTGGAATTGTTATTTTGATTGTGTTACTTTCTTAAAACCTATAATAAGAGACTGGCCAGACCTTTTGCTTATTATTATTTACCTGCTTTTTATTTTCCTTTTCTTATTGTAAGATCTTTTTTTACCTGGCAAAATCAAACAAGAAAGAAACACGTAAATGAATAATAAATTGAAGAAACAAAAACAAAACACCTGTGTGACTCATACCTGGTTTAGTAAGAAAATACAAAAAAAAAAAAATAAAAAAGTTAAAAAATCAAAAATTTTATAGGTTTTTAAAATAAATACAACTGAAAAATTGGGAGTTGGGATCTTTGAAGGCGAGCAATGCCAGCGTTAAAATATAAAATCTCTTCGAAAATTATCAGTTTCTTGAAATATATATTCAAAATAAACACACATGCACATATTTTATGTATACATAAATACATAAACATTTTAAATTATTCATTTACCTGAATACGAACAAAATACAAACAATTCAGGTGTGTTTTTAATTTTGCTTTCAATACCTGTTTCTCTTAGTTTCTTTTTTAGTTTTTCAAGATAATTTTTTTTTATTAAAATAATAATTGTTAATTCTATTGTAAATATTTTGTTCGTAAGTGTGTAGAATCTTAGATTTTTATTTGAAGAAATAATAGAGAGAATGAAAATAAACATAACAAGTATTTTAAGAGGCACCAACAAAGAAATAATCTAATCTGTCATCAATTTTAGTGTTACCAGATGTATTTAATGCTATATGATATGAGAATTATAGAGCAAGAAAATAATGTTTATTATTTTATAAAATGATGTGTGAATTTTTTTAACTAGTTCTTGAACATGCACTGCTTTTAATTTTCATAAAATTGTTCTGGTAATAATGTCTCAGAAGAATTTTTTTTATTTTATAATAAATAACTTCATTCTAAGCAGTCCCATTTATATATAATATGTGTATCCTATACGAATTGACTGATTGACATTTCGTTGTGAAAAGCCTCTTGTTCTATTTTTACATTTACTGTACTTAGTCGTTTTTTAATTTTCTCAGTTTATATACTTGAGTTTAAATCTCTATTTCCTCTATAATTATCTGTCTTTTATATAATTAATCATAAGAAACCAAGTCTCTTTTCAGATTAACCAATTAATTAATTTAATATACAATCTATTAATCGAACCAAATCATAGATAAAGTTACATCAGAGGAGATACATAAATAGATATCCAAGATTCCATGTGTATGTGTGTAATTAATCCAAGTATATGTGGAATGGTCAAAATTTTTTTTTGAATTTAAGAATATTAAAATCGATTGATTTAAAGAATTGTACAGCCCACCACCATCTTTGCTTTGCGTAATACCAAATAAAGGTAGCTGAAAAGAAATCACCTCCAAATTAATAACGAATTATTAAACACAATCAATAGTTAGAAAAAAAAAACAAAAGAAAAAAATCATAAAAAAGATAATAATTTCGTCTCGCATAACAAGAATCGCATTTTGCGACGGCACTCACTGGCATTTTCGTTGTGGTATGAGTAAAATTCTACTATTATTCTCTTTTTTTTTTTTATAATTATTTATTAGTATTATTATTACTTTTGAATTTATTATTAATTGATTATGTTTGTTTTTACCTTTATTTTCTTACATAAAGGTAATTATTTTCGTTCTTTTTGTTTGTCTTTAACTGAATTTTCTTTGTTTTGTTTCTTTGAATTTCAGTTGTAGTTTAATTGTTTGTTTATTACATACATGTGTATATAGCCAGTCATAAAATTATATACGTATATATGTGTGTTTGTACGTGTTATTTAATTATTACTTACATAAATTATACTTTTAGAATTTAAAAAAAATATGTTAAGAATTTTGATTACCATTCGTTTATTTAATTATTTGCTATTTAATTATTACGAAATTTCTAAAAACAAAAACTCAAATAATAATTTAAGTACATAATAATTTTTTGTTTTAAAATTAATTAAACATTCAACTCAAGACCTTAAAAATTAGATTTTCTATAGTTTTTGAATTTAAAATTATTTATGTGCGTTTGAAAATCTAAAATAAATACCACAAATAAAAATACTTTAAGAGTAGTTAGAACTCAGAGTTCTAAGCATATAAAATGAAAATGGTACATTATGTATTTGCATACTCATAGTTATTTGTATGTCGACGAAAATGCTTTTTAATTTAGAACTTGTCAAACAAAAAAAAATTTGTATTTAAACAGCATAGTTAATATTTGTGTCATTCATTTGGGCTACTTGTGAGTGTAGGTGATTGAACAAAAAGTGAATTTAGCAATTATACAATCTTTTAATTTCGAATTAAAAAAACCATTTCTTAAATAAATAAAAATATGAGCTAAGTACTTACTTTACACTCAAATTAGTGATTCTATCATGTAATTTTGAATTAACAAAGTGCATAGATAGGATTATGTTCTAAAAAATCACTATAAACTAAAAGTCGAGATAAATCACTGTTTATTTACTTATTAAATTTTTTAAAAATTATGATTCAAGCACCACTAATAAGTAAATGTGTTTAGTTGTATGTGTATTTTTTCAAACTCATATTGCTTACTGATTAAACAGTGCTGATATTATTATAATTTATTATTATTAGTTTTTTTTTTTTGTAAGTTAGAAGAAAAGCG